ATATTATTTGAGCACCTACTATATGCCAGGCACTATTCTATGTGCTGGGATTACTTCAGTGAATAAAAGAGCTTATAATTTGGGGAAAGGAGAGACAGGATATTTAAAAAGTGGCTATAACACATAATTAAATCAATAGTTTGTTAGAAAGCATCGAGTGTTATTTTAGTCACCCAAATAATGATAGTGTTAGTCTCCTAGATAGTGATAATGATGATGATACCAATTCCCTATGTTCTAAATATTTTGTCTATTATTTAAAGTTTATTAATTTACTTTTCACAGCAAACTCATGAGGCAGCTTCTCTTAATATCTGCATTTTACATATGAGGCAATTAAGGCCCAGAAAGATTAATTTTCCCAAGACCACACTAGGTACAGAGTGGAGCTGGGATTGCCTCCTGAATCAACTGCTAGATTGGCATAAGCAGTCCCATCTCTAAGAGTTGTGAAGGAAATGCCCTCCACTGTCTGAGGCACTTCACATGCAACACCAGCAAGGGCAGAGTTTAAACCTTCATATTGCATTGACTGGGGAAGAAGAACTGAGAAGACTGTGTGGCATCAAGGAGAAGGAACAGCGGGTCCTTCTATAAAGAGGGAAAAGTAGACACTTTCTGATTTTCCAGCAGCAGATCTGGAGATTATTTCTATTACCCCTCTTACCCTGCTTTGGTTATTTCCCTCTTCATGTAGTCATCAACAGTGGTAGCAGAGATGCAGGGAAGATGAAATGTGGAGCTGATTAAATACATGGCAATGGCTCTGCTAAGTGATTTGGCTGGGGAAGAGGCTGTGACTGCAGTAGAGTGAGGATAAAGCCAGGCATTGGCTGCCAGGCTTCATGACGGTTGACCTGTCAATTCTCTAGAATTTCATTCTAGAACAGCAGCTATGTCAATCATTATAATGTCCTTGAGGTACATTTTAATTTTAATCAAGTTTGTCAAGTTTGTTTTTAACCTTTAATGTAATACACATTGTATGGGTATATTGTTTTTCAGGATTTTTCTAGGAGCAAAAAAATGGGGGGGTGGGGATGGCCAACTCCATGTAGATATCTGGTCAGAGGGTTACAGGAAGCTGTTAACTCTAGGTAAGCTGTGCTTTGAATTAGGTACTTCCATATAGTGGCTAGAGCACAGATAGAGATTGCTTTTGTAATAAAAGATCCTCTTCACATGTACCTGCCACCACCAATGAGAAGTACTAAACTCCAATAGTTTGATGTCTTGAATGGAACCAGCTGGATGCCCGTTTTCATTGCTGTGCAAGCCTGGATTAATTTGCTAGCTACAAACCACTATTTCTATTGAGTACTTACTATGTAGCGATTGTACTATGTAAACACTGTATATGCAGTATCATTTTTAACCTTCATAACAGTCCCGAGCAGGAGGTATTGTTATCCCAACTTTAGAGATGGCAGAACAGAAATTGAGAGAGAGAAAATACCTTGCTAATCTCTCCTCTTAGTAAGACCAAGATCCAAATGACATAGAAGCCTCAAGCTCTAAAGCTCTTTGCTATTCTATTCTTAGAGTCTCCTCAGGGAGTCAGAATTTCTGACTGGGAGATGACATGGAAGGTGATCTGATTCAATTCTCTATTTTATACATAAGTTGAGAGACTTGTGTAAGGACACAGGATGTGTAGAAACATATGGCCCAAAGCCAAAAAACAAATTCACAAGTGCACGCCCCATATATGTAGTGATTTTGTATTAAGGAAAGAGTAGAAGGTGAGTTCTGGAATTTTGAAAGCTATTTTAAGGTAAATGTGGCAAGTTCACAAATTTGGGGACCAAGAAAAGAAGTATAATTACCAACTAAAAGAGGAAAAGGAATGGCCGCCTGAAGTAGGTTTGAGGGTAGACCGACAAGAGGAAATCTAGGGGACAAAAAGAAAAGTGTGTGTGTGTGTGTGTGTGTGTGTGTGTGTGTACACATTTAGCTTAAAATGACAGTGAAGTGGCCAGAAAAAAAGAAATCAAATGAAATGGCCAAGGGTTCGGGAAGAAGAAATGACTGGGCCTCTGCCTGATCAGATAGTAAGACCCTGGGTTGCTTATCTGGGGAGATGGGATGGGTGGAGAGGGAATCACTCATTTTTTGTTGTTTGTTTTCCTTCCATTTTGTGTAAAGCTAAAAATGCTGAGTGTCTAACTTTTGAAAGTTGGTCTATTGTTTCATTTTACTGAAAAAAAAAAAAAGAAGAAAATGAGTCATTTGGATTTCTACACATTTCCCACAGGAACCTAAATTACAAGTAATACCAAAATCATCCTTTCAGTGTTTACTGCAAGCCAAAAACTTCCCTTTAAAATCTGATGAGAGCTAAATATAAATGCTATGACCACAGCTTTGCCTTTGATTCCTGGGGCTGCCTTTCTGGGACCCCTAGGGGTGGGCAGGACAAGATGCTGAACTTTACTGAAAGCAAGTTTGCCTTTAGGCCTTCATGCTTTCCATTTTAGTGGCTTCTGCCTCCTTCTGAGGGCCTACCATGAACACCCCATCCCTACACTGGCCCTACAGGCTAGACTTACCCACTTCTCTGCCTGACTTGTCCCTCTTAACCAAGGAGCCTACTAGTCTTCAGTCGTTTTCTCTTTTGCTTCCCAAAATATCAGCTCTTGACCTCAGAACCCTGCTCTCAACAATCTTACAAACTCATTTACACTAAGTCTTATTCATCAGTGAGTTGAGCATTTCAATTTCTCAAAAGCATTTAATTCCCTACACCATATCCCATCCCCTTTAAGTAGGAGACATAATGCTTTACACAGAATAAAACATCCCATCTAACATAAATGTTAGAATCATGGGCATTTTGGAAAGGTATCATGCTTACAATTCTCTGATCTTGGTCTTATTTCACAAATCTGTACTTTTGCACAAGCTGTTTTCCTATGTAGACTGTCTTCTCACTCTAATTAGCCTATCTAATGAAATTCCTGCTAACTGCTCATAAGCCGTCTTAACACGATCTCCACCCAGAAAACTTTCTCTGATTATTCTAAAACTGTGTTAACACAGGAGCCACTGACCATGGGATGCTCTTGAGCATCTGAAGTGTGACTAGTCCATTTAGTGAGGCACTAAAATGCACATCAGATATGTAAGAATTGTGTAAAAAAATGATGAATCACAAGGTCAGGAGTTCAAGGTCAGCCTGGCCAATATGGTGAAAACCCTTCTCTACTAAAAATATACAAAAATTAGCCAGGCATGGTGGCAGGCACCTGTAGTCCCAGCTACTTGGGAGGCTGAGGCAGGAGAATCGCCTGAACCTGGGAGGCGGAGGTTGCAGTGAGCTGAGATCATCACGCCACTGCATTCCAGCCTGGGCGACACAGTGAGACTCCATCTCAAAATAATAATAATAATAATAATGATAATAAAATGAATAAATTTTAAAAATTGTTATATTGATTGCATGTTGAAATGACACTATTTTGGATACAATGGATTGAGGAAATATATTATCAAAATCAATTTCATCTTTATTTTTACTTAAGTGGCTACTATAATTTTTTCTTTTTAATTTTTTAATTGAGACAAAATATACACATATAATTTACCATCTTTAAAATTTTTACGTGTACAGTTCAGTGGTAATAAATATATTTGTATTCTTTTTCTCCCTCTTCACCACTGTTCCCCCACTTACCCTGGGACAAAAACATTTAAAATTACATCTTTGGCTTCTGTTTGGCTTATATTAGATTTCTATTGGATAGTGCTGCCCTAAAGACCAGTGGTTTTGAACCTGCAGGGGGAGAGGGATAGGATGGCTAAATTGTCTGCATGTCTGTTAAAGTGCATATTGGAGTGAAATAAACTATGTTTCTGATATATATCAATAATATCCCGAGATAATCAATGAAGAGCAAACGCATTTGGGTCTTTGGTGTTCTATCAAGGACTATTCATCTTTTGTTAATTTTGCTGCAATCCTCATTTTCTCCCCACCTACCCTTAACCCTGGGGATGAAGGAGACACAGTATGGGTCTTTCGTTCAGTTGATCAATTCCTAGACTGAGCAGACGAGGTATAATATGATCCAGTTAATCATTAACAACTGTGGGAAAAAAAGGAAGAAGAATAAAGGACGCTTATATCAGCTGCCACATGCACTGCTAAGCATTTTAACACAACCAGAATTTCCTGACCTGTGCTCAGTGGAACACAGGTTCTGAGGGATTTTCACAGTGTTGTGTTGGGAGTGGGGAGGAGAAAGGAGATTCCATGGTGAAATCAGACTGGAAAATGCTGGCCTAAACAAGGTTAACCAGCTTATTTGATCATAAAATTCTTTCTTGAGAAACACCTATCATCATGTCTGGTTGGTAAATTTGTCATAGACAATGTCATTTAACGTGCACTTCACAAGGAGGACCCTGTGGCTTAAGAATTTAAGTGACTTGTCCAACATTGCAGTGTTACACAACTCATTAGTGACTGAGCCAAAACTCCAAATTCACATTTACACCATAGGAAAGAATTAACTGTGGTCAGAACAGGCAAATACCATCAAGAAAAATTCTCAATACGTATAGAAATATGTCTGAAATGACTTAGTCGCTTTCCCTGCTACACCCTGAGCTCACTGCCCCTCAGTTCATTTTCTGCTTCTACTGTGTTCTCCCTGGATGAAAGAGATCTCCTCTTCTGAATTTTTTAGTACTCTTCCTGTGGGTCTTGGCACATATTGCTTTATTCTTAATTTTGTATATGTATACTCTCCAAACAGATTAGAGGCTTGCAGTGGTATCACTTGAATTCCCTACAGTGTGTCTTGCATGTAGCAGGGGCTCTATAGAACTTTCTCAGTTTATTAATTACCAGCCCTCCCAGGTTAGCTATTGATGGCTTGTGGTGTCTTTTTACAGTATCTAAATGCTACAGAAACATTGGCTCTTGGTTCAGAGATATCACGGGTTCACCTAGGCTGCCAACTCAGTATCAAATAGCCTGATGTTGAACACTGACATACCTGTAAAATGCAACTCATGATATCAGATGCAATTTTTGCATGAGGAGTGTCTTCATCTTTCCCGAAAGGTCTCAGGTTATGTTCCAAGCAGGAGTCCCAGAGCCCCACAAGGGCCTTTGCATGCTTTTCAATAGATTCAGTCTCTCTGATGGCTGTTGTGATTCTTGTGATACAGATTTCAACTACTGCCTGGTCATTGTTATTGGTTTGGTAATCCTGTTTGGAAAGAAAATCTTCATATTAAATAATACTCTAGAAAGTTATCCTTCAAAGGACAAAATACTAACTCAGTCATTTAGAAAATGGGTGCACCAGGCTGTGTGCCAAGGGCTGAGGGTGTTAAGCCTAATACAGTAAAGGCTTTCTTCCTTGGAGATCCTAATCTTGTGGAAGAGGCAGATACTCCAACATGCTAAAATGGAGCAGGTTCTACTATCACCCTTAGACAGGGATCCCTGAGAATCCACAGGCGCTTAACTATTCATTTGCAAGTGGGTTTAATCTTTAGACTATTTCGGTTTCTAAGTCCATTACAGGGCAGGGGTTACTTTTTACTCTGACATTTCAGCAACTTTTGTGAAATGTTTCAAATTACCCTTCAATTTCCCCTCATTAGTTTTCTCCCTCTTTCTGGACATAATGGAACACATCATTTCATCTCTCCCTTTTCAACTCAGATAACTACAAAACCCATTTTAGCTCTCCCCAACCAGGTTTTCCTCCATTTCCCTGTTTTAATTCTCCCTCAAATACCTGATCATCTTTACTGAGAAATAATGGGACCTCCAAAACATCTAAATGTTAAAAACAGGCCCATTGCATTAATTTGGAAAATTGGTCTGACTGTGAACTTCATATGGTGGACTCACAAAACTGAAAACATTATAGAGCAGGAAAGTATTTAGAGCCTGACATCATCATGTGAGATTAGAGATGGGAAACGACGGGGTTTTTCGGCACTACACCAAACTTCAGTTGTAACAATTTTCTGCTGTTGCTTATAACTAATAGGGCAGTAAACATCTTGTGCATGAAGCTCTCTCTACATTGCAAATTATTTATATACTAGAGCCTCCAGAAGTGAAAATTTCTGAGACAAAGGACAGGAACATTTTTAAGGCTCAAATTAGGTATGCTGAACTATGTTCCAGAAAGGTTTTACGAATTTGAACTCCCTCTAGCTGGGTAATAGCATGATCTTATTGTACACTTACAAGAACAGAGTATTTATAATATTTCTAATTTGTTAGTGAGAAACAGTATCTTACTGCTATTTTGCTTAGGAATTTCTTTGCCCAAAAGTGAGGTTGAATGCTTCTGTGTTTATGGGCTGTTTGTATTTTCTCCTTTGGGAACTACCCACTGTACCTTATGTATATTTTTCTTTAGGTGACCTCATTTTTTTTTTTAACCTTCTTTGGTACAATATATTTTTCTATTAAGGATAATAAGTGAACATTTGACATTTGGCTGCAAATATATCTCCATGTTTCATTTTTTTTTTTTTTTGCTGCTATTCAACGACATCCTAAGATTTTAAGTAATTAAATTTGTAAATTTGGGGGGCCTCATTGTTTTTCCTTTTCTAAATCGGAAACTTAAGTTGTTTACATTGTTTTTGAAAGGTAATACATAAACATGGTACAAAAATTCAAAAGATGCAAAGAAAGGGTTTACAGTGAAAAGTTAATCTCCCTGTCAGTCCTGTTCCTCATCCATCCCAGTCCCCTTCCTCAGTGGGAGCCAGGCTCAGCAAATCCTTATGTTTTCACAGAGGCATTCTAAGCACATGCAGATGTCATCCACACATTCTCCTTTCTTTCTGTGTGATTTCTGTAACAGATTTTTGTTTAACTTCAAGTTTTCCTTATTCAAAAGTTGAATAAAAATCATCTCTACTTTTTTCCAGATTAAAAAGAACTTCACAAAACACTCAACATTTATTACTCTAGAAATTTATCTTTTAACCATTTGTTAGCTCTTAAATCTATCTGGTATTTATGGAAATAAGTAGACATGTACATTTTCTTCTAAATAGCTAACTTAATCTTCCTGGTACCATTTAGTGAATAATTCATTTCCTAGTAATTGTTTTAAATACATCAGATTCTGTTTCAGGGCTGTCTTTTCTGTCTGTCATTTCTCAATTATTTTACAATGCTAATTTTGCAACTTTCTCTATGTAAGCTTCAGAAATTTTTTTAAACTTTTATTTTAAGTTCAGGGGTACATGTGCAAGTTTGCTATTTCGGTAAACTCACATCATGGGAGTTTGTTTTACAAGTTATTTTGTCACCCAAGTATTATGCCTAGTACTCATTAGTTATTTTTTCTGATTCTCTTCTTCCTCCCACCATCCATCCTCTGATAGGCCCCAGTGTGTGTTGCTCCCCTCTATGGGTCCATGTGTTCTTATCATTTAGCTCCCACTTAAAGTGACAACATGCAGTATTTGTTTTTCTGTTCCTGCATTCATTTGCTAAGGATAATAGCCTCCGACTCCATGTTCCTACGAAGAACATGATCTTGTTCTTTTTTATGGTTGTGTAATATTCCATGCTGTATATATACCACATTTTCTTTATCCAGTGTACCATTGATGAGCGTTTAGGTTGACTCCATGTCTTTGCTATTGAGCTTCACAAATTTTTAACTGTGTTTCCCAGTGTATTTTGTCTTTTTGTTGTTGTTGTTAACAAAATATTTTTTTCTCATTAGAACTTTTAATTAGTTTTTGCTGATTAAATGAACTTATTGGGTTTTTTTGTTTTGTTTCGTTTTGTTTTTTAGATGGAGTCTCACTCTGTCACCCAGGCTGGAGTGCAGTGGTGCAATCTCGGCTCACTGCAACCTCCGCCTCTGGGATTCAAGCAATTCTCCTGCCTCAGCCTCCCAAGTAGCTGGGATTACAGGAGCGTGCCACCACGCCCGGCTAATTTTTTGTATTTTCAGTAGAGACGGGGTTTCACCACATTAGTCAGGATGGTCTTGATCCCTTGACCTTGTGATCTGCCCACCTCAGCCTCCCAAAGTGCTGGGATTAAAGGCTTGAGCCACCATGTCCTGCTTTTTGTATTTATTTTGTAACTTGCTGTTTAGCTTAACTATACTTAATCATGATAAATTTTCAATTCATCATCTTGGGTTTTCTAGAAAGATTTTTGTGTTTTATGCAGCCTTTCTGAGATCTATATATTTTATATATCCCGCGACTTATTATGTTGGCTAGAATAGTCTATGCTAGTTCACATAAAAGTAATTAGAACAAGAATGCTAGCTTAGTTCCTAGTTTTGGTTCTTGATTTTTGGCATAAAATTTTATGGTCAAAACCAAAAAAAAAAAAAAAATACAGTAAATGGTTTAATCATCATATAGAATGCATCACTTTCCATTTTCAAAGTTTATATATTTGATTTAATTTCCCTAGTAAGCATTATGCTGGCTTTTTGGGTGAAAGATTTTATAACATTATAATTTACAATATTAAAGAGGTATCAATCTATTGCTATTTTATTGAGTTTATTTTTAAGTAAAGAATAAATTGTGAATTTCATTAAATGCCTTTTTAGCATCTATAGATATATCAAATATTTTTGTCCTTAGATCTATCAATATGATAAATTACAGAAACAAATTTCTCAACATTAGTTAACTTTGCATTCCTGGAACGTGTTGTACTGGATCTTGGGAAATAATTTTTTAATGTGCTGCTAAATTCTGTTTTTAATATTTTATTTAAAATTTTTCGCATCAATATTTGGTCAGGTTTCATGTTAATTTTATGCTAATTCCATAAAAGGATTTTGGAAGATTTAAGCTCTCTATAATCTTACTTATTATTTGACCTTACAGTGGCCCAACAGAAGTGAATTAACATTTCCTGCAACTAACGTGTCTATCTGTTTTTACTGGTATCTCCTGGAGTTTTTCTTTTGTGAATGTTATTGCTATGTAATTTAACATAAAGATATTCTTAATCTTTATAACTCTTGTGAACTGAATCCATTAAAAAAATAAAGTGCCTTTATTTTACTGAATGCTTCTGGCATGAATTTTTTTCTTATCTGACTAAAGAATATGATCCCTGTTCCTTTTGGTTTACATTTTCCTCATATCAGTTGCCTATTTTATTCTTATTTTTAAAATTTCTTTTATAGCCTATATTGTATCAAATGAGTCGTTAACTCTATATAACTTTCTAGGAAACAATTTCGTAGCATTATTCAACGATTCTTAATAGTAAAAAATATGCCTAGTATATAGGGTATACAGAAGTCCTTGATCATCGTCTGGGTCCAAACGATTCTATCATAATCAACAATTTAAGCATAGTGGAGCTACATGTAGACCTCACTGGTCTTCACTTGAGAACAGAGGGCCCTGCCTTAGCAAATGAGTGGGCAAACTGTTTCTCACAATTTTAAGCAAAGAGGATTAGTTTTGACTGAGCATTGATTTTCTGTGTCAAAGGATCATTTTCTGTGCTTTATCTGCGAATCTGGCATGGTATGTTAAAAAAAAAAAAAGAAATAGCCTATATATTAGGTTTGAATATGTGATATGGTTTTGTGGTAAACATCAAAATGATTTGCTTTAATTTGAATTATTCACATGTGTTTTATAGTCAAGTAAATCATTGTTTAATTTTGCACCTTTTTATTTTAGATTTTCTAATTTTTAATTTTTGGTTTTTTTCCAGACAGGTTCTCTCTGCCACCCAGGCTGGAATGCAGTGGTGCCATGGCTCACTGCAGCCTCACCTTCCTGGGCTCAAGGGTTCCTCCTATCCCAGCCTCCTGAGTAGCTGGGATTACAGGTGCATGCCACCATTCCCAGCTAATTTAAATTTTTTATTTTTATTTTTATTTTTTGTAGAGATGGAGTCTCGTTATTTTTCCCTGGCTAGTCTTGAACTCCTACGCTCAGGTGATCCTCCCCACCTTGGCTTTCCAAAGTGCTAGGGTTATAAGTGTGAGCCACCATGTCCAGCCTATTTTTACATTTTCTAAATCATTTTCTAAGTCATTAAATATATGTCTCTTCTTTGCTGGATTTTGCCTGGTGATCTAATCTAAAAGTCTTTTTTAAAAAATAGGTGAGTTTTACCCTTTATATAAAGTGATATGATGGATACATTTGGCTTTAAATATGTCATATTAGCTCATCTTATGCTTGAGTTTTTCTTAACTTTTGAAGTTCAAGTATTTTACTAGGA